CGATAGCAAGAAAATCCATAAGAGCAATAATAGCCAAAATATTATAAATTTTAGATAGATGAATAAATATTTGTCGTATTGAATGAAATGAAATTGAATTAAGAACAAATAGAAAATTTTGATAGTCGATGCGAGAATCGAGTAAATAGTATCCTTCATCGACTTTGACTGAATCAAAACTAGATCCAGCAGAGACTAATGCAGTCAAATATGGAATTTTTTCAATTTGATATTCATTCAATGTTAAAAGTTGACCTGAACCAAAACGAAATGTTTTCGTCGTTGTAGATGATTCATCAATATGATCATTCATTGGAGATCTATTTTTGAAGTTCGACGATAATAGTTGATTATTGTTTTCACCCTAAATGTATATTTGAAGTTGACAAAGTAAATTCAGACAAAGAACGAAATAAATGCAATGTCAATAGGATCTATTTTGCAAATAGCAATGTAATATGATTTTTTTTTTGAATGAGTATACGATAAAAAGAAACTTTTTCTCGTTTCTATATGAGTGTGCAATAAATGTTTGATAATATTTCGTTCTTATCTTTTGAGGTAGAAATTAAAAATACCCAAATGAAATCAATTTGAGCATTTTCTTCAAATCTTTTCTGTTCTCTTCGTCTTTATTTGCTACTTCTCAGACTCAGAGTTGTCCAGACGCAAAATGCGGCGTGCAACGATATAATAGTCAATCGAAAAAAAAAATAATATTTTTCTAATTAGATGCATGTTATAAAATATATATTTTGAGTAGCATAAGAAAATTTCACGGCTTTTATTTTTTTTAATTTCATACTAGCTCGAAAAATGATTCACTATTGTATAATTAGGATTCGTATTGTAACACATGATGAAAACGAACAGAAAAGCAAAATACTTTCTTTCAATGTCTTTTTATGAATCATAAGAAGACAAATTTACAAGATGGCTTGTTTTTTTTCTGTTGTCAGTATACACCCTAGATCGTCTACTTTAATCTAATTTTCAGCTCTTTCAATTGAAAATGCATATTTTTTCTCAAAGACTGTCTACTTCGTTTTTTTGTTCTCCAAAATTGAATGATTGTTATAAAGTCGGTAGCGTATTTACGATGTTAAAAGAATAAACACGTTGCGAATCAGGGCTGTACTGAAGTTTAAAAGTGAATTAAAAAAAAACCTACACACAATAATGCATATTTTCCCGTAAATTCCCAGTTTTTTTCAATACATAAAAAGTGCTGAAGGCGCGACAAAATATTGGACGCACTGTGAAGGATCGGTCGTTCAAAATTTTACATAGTATTTTTCAGTTGTTCCATTGGTATTTCTTTTAATAGTATGTTATGTTTTGATTCATAGTCACAAGGATCCAGCTCGGGCGAAGTATTCCAAAAAGCTAGAAAACAGATGTGTTTGTGTATTAATGCTCATGGTTGGTTTTACAAGACAAACTATTTTTCACATAATTCTTATCTGAAATCAAGGTGGCAACTGTGATTTAAAGAAATAGTGGCAAACGTATGAAAGTTGCAATTGAGCTTTAATTACGATTTCAAACAATAGTGCTGAAAAAACAGTTTTTTCTGCATTATTTATGATGAACACTTAAACATAAATAATTCAATTGTTGACTATTTTGATTACTCGATTAGACCTAGGCTCATGTTCCGAACAAAAACAAGTTTCTCTTTTTTCAAATCATGTTCAATAACTTGTATAGTGATTAACATTGAATAATATTCGATTTGATAAAGTTTACCGATAAATAGAACCATTCGTTCGTTTTCAGCAATTATAATGTACACGAATTATTCAATGATTATTCGATCAATAAAACAATGTTGAACATTTAAGTTGAAAATTTGAATAGGAACAAAATGGATTTGTGTTTCTCATATCTTTGTCTTGAACGTTGAGCTAAAATGACGAAATTTCACTTTTCATAAAAAACATTTCGAAAACAATTAAACTTCTTACAGATCAATGGAATTCGGGCTGAATTTTTTTGTTGGAGTAAAGTTATTTAAATAGATTTACAGACCCTCAAATTCAAACTGAATTGAACATAAAGATTTTATTAAATAACCATTCCGAATCGAAGAATTCAATCTCGATTGAACAAGACAAAAACTTTCTGGTAAACATTGTTATTGTCACATCATTTGTTTATTCTCCAAAGAATTTCTTTGATTTTATGACTTAGAAAATTAACTCACGAATCAGATGAGTGCATTCGAGAAAATCGTTTTCTTTCTTTTCAACTTCAACTAAAGATCGATAAATCTCACTTATTCACTTTTGATAAAGTCGAATAATGACTGAAATAGATTTAAAAAGTGTTATTCGTGACTGACAAAGAATCAAGTTACTTTTTGTGATTTCAATCGATCAATGATTCAATAGTATTTTCATCGAGTTCTGAAGAAAAATTTTGTCTCGATTTCCTTTGCCGCAGAGCAGAAACGTTGACAAGAAAAAGATTCAGCAGTTTGCATCATTTCAATCGATTGATGTCATTTCGATAGGCAAATATGTTGATCGAACATCGGCAACGTCTTTTCAGGACAGTCCGAATGATGGAATTTTTTAAATTGAACAAGAGGAAAAACATAAATGTCAATTGTTGAAAACAACCCAATTAAGTCGATTCGGATCCATTCAATGATTTGATTTTTTCCTAAATCAAAGGACGCGCCATGAGTTTTGCTGATGAAATGAAATAAAATCGAACAAAATTGAATTTCGAGACAGAACTTCTAATGGCTTCATTCGATTTTGCAATGAGCGTTCATGATCTTCGAGCTGTGACGCAGGTCAGACCCCTAATAAAACACAAAAATCTCAAGCGACGTTCCATATTATCACTATAAAATCTCTCTGTTTTGAACAACTTCACTTTGCTTGTTTATTGTCTCAAATATTTCTTCAATGTAGAGGGAGTAGGTATACAGAGTAAAACCCAAAGAGCAAAACGAAAAAATTGTCTTTTTCACGTTAATTCTTTGAGTCCGGGATTATTTTTTTATAGTCAAATTTTTTACTATATGAAAATAATTCTTCAATCAGAGAATTATGAGACAACCATAATCATCTGTAAGTATTGATGATCTTAGTCGTACAAATATCCTAAACCCAAACATTTATACAGTTCATATGATTAAATATCAAAAGATAATGTTTTTTGAAATTATTCAGAGCGCAAAGTTCCAGGACGAACATGTTCGTCGCCGATACACAATGGGTTAGAATACGTTTCGAACGAGCAGTCCAAGATGAACAAAATTGTAAAATAACATCGTCCCGACTTTTGTTCACTACTCGTTTTAACTCTTCGAGGAGAGTTTCCTTTGACGTCACTTTCTGCCAGCCGATAGCCTGTGCAAATCCTTTCCAGATACAATACTCCAGTGGGTTCAGATCTGGACTATTCGATGACCAATGATCTTTATCTATGAATGATGGAAAGTTGTCCAGACACCATTTTTGGGTGAGTAGATGAACATGAGGTTTCGCACCGTCCTGTTGAAATATCCATTGTCTTCCAAATATTTTATTCCTATACTCCAGGGCTATAGGCAGAACCTTATCGATATATTCAGCATGGTCTAGGGTTTCTTGGTCGAAAACGACCAAAGACGACACTCCTTTGGAGCAAACATCTACACAGAGCATTACTTTTTTAGGAAATTTCGGTTTCATTTTCATGCTGCCTCTCTCATTTACCCCAGCACGACTAGCAGCCCAAATACGTTGATTTTGGGCATTATATATACCGTGGACATATCGTGTCCTTCTTTCGAAAATGATTGAAGATCCAGTTTGCGAACTTTTTTCGTTTCTTCTTGCGTGCTTCGGTGAGTTTGGGCTCGACTACTGTCTTGTAGGCGTAAAGTTTTAGATCTTCTGTCAATATTCAATGCACGCTTGATTTGGAGATTCCCACTTCATTCATCAAACATCGAACTGACGTATTGTTTGTTGTGAGTTTGTGTTTGACGTTTTGAATAATTTTACTGGCACGAGTTAAATATGGCTCGCCGGGTGGTGTTGATAACTGGATCGAACCGGTGTCGCAAATCATTTTGCATCGCCTCTTGATGGTAGTTAATCTGAAACAGCCTTTCAAATCACGAAAGATTTCCGTTGGAGTATCACCTTCTTTGTATTTACGAAGAACTACTTTTTGCAAATCTTTACTTTTCATTTTATTAGAAATAAACAGAATTTCCGTACGAGAAACAAAAAATAGATCCTTGTAGAGGACGCTTGAACAAATCTTTCAAAAAAAAAAGTTGGCGCCGAAAAGATGAAACTTCATAGAGATGTCAGTAAAATACCGAGAGGTCTGTTTTTCCTGGGACAACCGATAGAAATAATCAGCACATTTTTTGAGTAGTTCCTTGCACTTTCTTCATATCTTGGAAGAGAAAAATAAAATGAGCCGATTTACTTGCTTATACGCCTCCTCCTTTAAATAAATCATAATAATTATTATTATTATTAAATTAAAATAAAAATCAAATTTCAATTATGAAATAAATAAATAAAAATTTTTAAAAAATAAGATAAAAATAAGGTATTAAAATGATGTCAAATATCAATTCAACCTTCTTATCAAAACATGAATTTTAAATTCATTTAAGTTCGAATACTATGTGCTAAGAGTTTTTGATAATAAGGTAAAACTTCACGATAGAAAGGTATATGTTCGGTTGGAACATCATTTTCTGTTATTTTAATTCCAGATAGTGGCCTAAATCCAGTTGTTGAATGAACATCATTGTACCAAAATTTGGCCCAAACACCATCGCAAGATTTTGGACCAATCGACCACGATAACATTTCATCCAAAAATGGCAAATCTAATCGATTGCATATTTGTGTCAACACATATTTCGGATCTTTTCTTATTTCATTACCATCGACAACAATTGGATCTTGTTTGGTAGTCGCTTTCAGCCAATCATAGAATTCTACTTCATCTTTCAAACAGCCATATTGTGAAGTTATCAATCGATCTATCTTATAATGAGATACAATAGTTTCAGCAGGATCACGAATAAGTATTATGTGACGATAGTTCAATAGACGATTCTTATTGGTAAGTTCTATAATATTAGACATATTCTTAACAAAGACATTGCCTTTTAATTTCTCCTGGTTTTCAATTTCATCATGAACCTTTTCCACATTATCACATTCCATTACTTGTATCGTTTCATTAAAACATGGCTGATCTCTTTTATCAAACTTTTTTACCCAAATTCCGTAAAATGGTTCATCAATAGCTACTGTATCTGGACGTTGATTAAATGAATACATAAGAGCTGTTGAATAATTTCTCGGACTAGAGTAAAGATAGATAATCATGCTTTTGTATTTGTTTCTTGAACAACGTTTCTCGATTCAATTTTTTAATAGTTGACTTAAATAATAACTCATACTGTGAAGCCAGAAATCTAGAAGTCAAAATGTAACAATTGATTTTTACTTCTGATAAAACAATATTCATATAACAAAATATAACACTTAACTACTCCAAATAATATATCTACACTCAAAACTTTAAACTCTCGTAAGAAATCAAGTGTTTAAAAGTATCAGCGCTTCTAGAGTTATGGGAATGTTTGTCAACACAATCTTTTCCAAATTGAAATGCGAAAAAAATCGAGAAAGGATGATCTGTGATCGATGAGGTGATGGGTGCGCATATATAATTACAACTTGTAACGATTCAACGACATATATACCTTAAAAAAAAACAAGGGAAGATCTCATTTCAAGCCATTTGAATGGACCCTGAATCCTTTTTTATCAACTTGATTCATTGAAAAACAACATTCACAGCTCTTTGTGTCTAGGATTCCTGTCAAGTACCATGAGAAAATACTTTTTTCTTCTCATGAGTCAAAACCATACATACTTGTAGACTCAGAGGTGCAGAAACTCTCTCATTCTTAGAACAATTCTAACTACTTCATGGATCATTTTTTCGTTTTTGGAGCTAAGGATATTAATTTCAGGCTCTGCTCCAGAAAACTCATTGAGTATTCTTTATTCTCAGGAGTCCAGAATTCATGAGTGTTCCCAATTATTAGAAACATAGAGTTCATACTAGTAGTAGTTTCTCGTTTCTAGAAATTCGAAATCGCACAAACGTTTCTATCCTTCAAAATTTAGCATGTGCTCTTATTTTAAAAACCATGAGTCAGACGTGTAATTCTCTCAAGTTCATCACAGAAAGATGTACAAACATTTATCTAACTATCATGATATCAATTGATTAA